TCAATTTTTGGTGTAATGTAAAAGCATTGAGCTGGATTGATAGTTTAACGCTGGAATTGAGAAGTGTTCTTCGACAGTGAATGGAAGAAGCTCAGTCTTCGAGCAATGACGACCAAATAAATTGGTAAACAAGTAAAAAACATGTCAAAATCACGCACTACCAAACATATACCATTCATTCACTCATTCGGCTTTCAAATTTGGACAATAGCAGCTGTATTCGAGCCGATAGATTAACTTCGGCTTTTGATTGAATTATACAATATTCATGTAGGTTGCCAGTGATTAAGTGTCACAATTAATGAGGATTCATCCTTCAAGAACACGCCGTAAACGTTCCGAATTCCACGACCTCACGAACATTTCCTTACAAACTCAAAATCACTTAAAGGTATCAATTCGTACAAAGAAATGTTGTTATTTCCGTAGTTTTCTTCATTTACCTTGAATATTACTTTATTCATAGAAAAGATAGTTTTACTCTGATCGGATCTTTTGCTTATTCATTACCTGGGTTACCTGGATCGGCCAGGCTATCTTTTGCTTATTCATNCTAGTTGAAAAATACCTTCGCAAGTTTTTGAGTTAGTCTTTTTATGCATGAATCCTCAGGAATGTTTCCACTTGTGATAAATTGGAATTCACAATTGCAAATGTCGAAGATGAGCTGTGGTTTAGTGCTTTGATGTGTTGTTTTCGGATCGATCATACTTTCTGAAGGCAATGTTTGTGAGTGAAGAAAGTCCGACCCTTATGCACAAACGGAATGAAACACAAATTATTGTTTTAATGACTCATGACTTATCGTTAGTCATAAACTCAGTGCAACTGGTTAAAATGAAACTTCGGTAATACAATCACTAAGAATACTTGCTCCATCTGCCACAAGATCACTTACGGTTTGCATGACATGACAGTTTCATGTGAATTATAAAATCGTGTGAAGGTTACAAGCATCGGACGAATCATTCTGATCACTTAAACGATAGATATCATTGAACGACAGTTATACGATTGTGCAGAATGTTTATTCAATGAGTCATTGACATGATCATTTACATGCTTTTGAAAAATTAACGTTCAATAAACACACAACTAACTGTACGTGCGCTGTTCAAGCCCAATAAATGAGAATGATTTCGGTTGATGATGAGCTGTTGTGGTCATTCAATAAACTAACATTTATTAAGAAACGTTCGCTGTAGATGATGTGCAATGAAGTGCTTCCTGAAAGAATCCCTTCCTTACAATTAGGAATTTTTAATATCTTATAACTTGCAAGCATTTCCTTTTATCTGTATCCTGTATTATCAGTAGCAAATCTATATTCGAACATTCACTGCCTTCTCATTCATGCACAACAACAACGACTGCCTCAGTTACATTACCGTACGATCAGATGACAATATTCGTCATTTGCTATTCGTTGAACATGTGTGTGATCACATCCGATAATTCCGTCTCTCCAATGATCTACAACGAGCAGATAGGTGAGTTAGATGACTGTAATGAATTGCAGAAGATATGGCGGATGCGTCGGGTGATGTTCAGATACGAACGTATTTCTCGTATCCGGAACGCATGTTTCCGCCGATCGAAAACAACAAATTGCCGACTGAACAATTCCTGAGGGCATGCCAGGGCATCGCCGATTTTGTTGGTACGTTCATCTCTCATCACACTAAATATCAATCAATGGCTAATCAGTTGATGATTTGTTCCGTATAGGTCATTCAGTAACCAAATCTAATAGTGTGGTGACTGTTTTTCCAGATTATGAATGATTTTAATGTGTTCGTGGCCAATATGAATGGGTTTTACGAGTGTTTAATCGAAGCTTAAATTCAGGATTTCTGGGTACCGCATTCATACCGGTCAAAAACGATATAGCTGGTAATGTGGCGAAAGTTCGTTCGAAATTTGACACTGATAAAGTGAAATTTAAGTATATTGAGGACTTGATTGATGACGATCTCGCACAGAATGGTGGTAAATTAGGATATGCCACTGAGGGCTTACTCTGGTTGAAAAGGTACTTACGATAATATCATCTGAATGATGAATCAGTCAGTCCTCTGATGAGGACAATAATCGAAACCTCAAATGACTGTTACATTATCCTCTCTCATGGCTCCTTCTTCTCGGCCGATCGCACAAGAACGAAGTGATAGATGTTTGAAATCACTTTGTAACTGCTTAAGTTGACGATTCCTATGAACTAATATCATAAACGATTAAATGTGTTTGTGGGCATTATAGTGCTGATTGCTGAAATCCGTAATTGCGTTACGAAGTCAAATTGAGTGTTTCTATAAGTTGAAAATTTTCAGAGGACTAGAATTTATGCTGGAATTGTTATCCGAAATGGTGCGTGAGTATCGTTCGAGTGCTGACAAACAATCAACAGAGAGTTTAATGGGTAGCATCAATAAAGCTTATATTACCACACTGAAACGACATCATGGTTTCGTTTCGAAACAGCTTTTTAAGGTGACCATTATTTGATAGTTGCGATTCGATCAGCCTGTGTGCAAATCTTCTCTGTGATAAGCCTTCACTGAAAGGAGAATGGAAAATTGAGAATGCAACAAGAGACATCGCAGAGTCATATTCGTAATGCAGAGTCGTTTGAATCCACTGAAAACTGAAAATGAATCTCAAAACGGTATCAATTGCAAGATTTGTGAGTGTGAAAGAAATTCAGGTTGTAATCTTGGCTGCACCTTATCGAAAGACGATTTTGAAAGCGCTCGCCGAAGGACACGAAGGTCCGGACATGGACGACATCTGTATCGATCACATTGAGAAGCATTTGGATAATTTCCGCATAAATGTTGCACATTTGGTCAACTATTATATTGCCAAGAAACTCGAGACACCGAATCCGTCCGAAACGTGCTTGTCTCAGTTGAACAATTCGTCATAACATGGCCACTTATCGCATCAATTGCTAATATGATCATGTTCATTACTCTTTTATGTACTGGTTTACGTTCTCAGTTTCTTACAATATTTATTTAGCCGCCCATATGCGAGGGAGAAAATTCAGAAGAAAATTTTGATTTATTCATATCGTTCGTGGTTATTCAATTCATATCATTCAATTATTCTATTAAGTTTTCCCATTTTTGATGGGAAATTTGACTTCTTCCTCATTTCGTAATAGAAACTGTTTTGAAATTGAACAAATTTACTATTCTATTCTCAGTTTGTGATAGTTCAATTATTCTATTACTGACTGCGATTTGTCGTCAGTTTTGGTGCGTATCCGGAATGAACGACAGTCATGAACTGTTGATGAATTCAATGCTTATTTCAGTTCGTTAAGGAAAACTGTTGATCAGTATGTTCTCTGAATTCATCAATCACCTGTCCAGAAATATTATCCTAAGGAAAATCAGATAATTTGAAACGCATCTCGCTAAACTAAAAATCCTTTTGATCTTAACTTAAGAGCAAAACGGATATTTCGTTGAAAAGATATAAGAAGAAAGCGCATTTCTTTGTCATATAATTTCCTATTGTTTCATATGTTCATTGCCGGTGTTTAACATTTTATCAAGATTGATTTTATCTGAATTCCTATGAATTTTTCTCCAGCAATAAGTTTCATATAATCCTTATATGTTCGTTATCGGTTTATGTTATTTGTTCAATCGTGTTCCTCAAACATGTCGTCTACTTATCATTTCATATTTCTTTGAAATTATTCTTTTGTGATTCATCAACAATACACTCATCAGCAACTGAAACATTTATCAGCAATC